AGACTGAACTTGATGGACAACATAGTCATTATACGTTTTTTCTCTCTCTCTGTTTTGATGAAATATGCGGCCATAAAAAGTAACAACCTCAGAATAATTTGAGGAATTTTCATGAGTATTCCATCAAAATATTCTGGTGAAAGCTCTCGACCCCAGCACCAACAACCATTTTAGTTTCTTGCTGCAGTTTAAAATGTAATTCCATGATACTCCTGTTAGTTTTTGGCCCGAGGCCCCAGTGGCTCGCTAGGTCTTTGCTCAAGGTAACTAGAGTTGAAACTCTAATACTTTCCCTTATCCGTCGAGTTGCAGAATGCAAAAGTCCACCCAATATATTGCCGGCCTTAATTGGAGTCCCTTTATTTGCAAAACAATTAGATGAATGAAAAAGGGGATAAAAAGAAAAGAAATAAAATGGGAAAAAAACTTTACTTTTGCATATTACTCTATGTTGAGCGATGACCGAAATATTTATTTTGGACCTTACTTCCTCGTTTGGAGTAGAGTGTAGCTTCGCAATTTGACAGAAAAAGTCATTTTGTTTGGATTTCTCTCATTTCGTATCATTATCACATATGTACCGCGAGTCATATGTATACGCGTGGTGTAATTTATAAATCCCTCTAAACGTAATTTCAGCTTTAGCTGACTGTTGGCAACCTGCGATAGAGCCTCACACCTCAGTAGAAGACCAATTAGACTCCGTCTAAGAAACAACGGGTATTACTAACGAGGTAAGTGCCTAAGTTCTTCAGTGTTTTGTTTTAAACATTGCCATTCCGGAAAAGGCAGAAAACGAAACTGGAAAAGTTAGGTGAAAGCGTGTGTCTCCATAGTGGCTGTTTATCACCCTTTTTACCCTGCAGAATTCAGAGTGTGCTCTGAAATTTAGCAAGCCTGTGACTAAAGTTTATAGCGGAAAACTAAGCACATGTATCATCGAATATTGCTTATTAATTTTGTGGAAGTTTCCTAAATAAGTAATTTTTTTACGTTTCGAAATATAATGGAAAATTTTAAAGAGATGATCAAACGGATGATTCGCCAGATGCCACTAGGAAAGTCCAATGAAAACTACTCAACATTTTTGCTTTCCACGTAGATGCGTCTTCTTGTAAAAACCTTTCAACCTTTGAACAAAGCCTACTTCATTAATCATTCTGTCTTCTTGATATCCCATGCAAACAGTAAAAATTTAGGGAAATGGAATTACCACATCAGTCTCTTTTCTCGTAAGCTGGCAGCTAGTAGAAGAAGACTTCAGGAGTAGAGAGGGGAGGGACGGAGTCCGAACCGACAACGTTTCGTTTTTTTTTTCAATCACCCATGAAGAAATTTTCTTCTCAGAAACATTGGAGTGGACGATTGTTTCTTTTTTGTCCTTAATTTTGCATGGAACGTCAAAACTGCAAGTCTGCCTCGGCGCTCTTGTTTTATGTGATATTGTATTTCCTAGGTATGTTTGTCTATGCTTATTTGCAATATTTTTCGCGCTCATTAATTTATTAGTACTTCATCAGCCTTCCCATACTCCCTCGGACTTGTCCAATACTCCACCCTTTTAATCCATTATTTTTCAATGAAAATGCTCATCATGTTTTCGCAGGTGTCATAGATCTAATATTCTTCATATGGCTGGTCAATAGGCTTCAAAGTTGTTAGACTACTTATTTAAGCGCGTTTAGGTAACGTCAAGAAATGGTATGGGTCACCTGACTTTCATGGGTTTTACGCTGCTTGTTAGTAACTTTTAGTATTCTCATCCTTTTCAACTACCAGCATGATCCGCACTCAAAGTCTTTACTAGTCATTTCATATTGTTCTAGATAGGGAAGAAAAACAATAAACGCAGCGAAAGGTAAGCCTAACTGTTTATTTTATTAACTCCTATTTAGAAATTGGGCCTGTGGCAAAAAACAATTCCAGTTGCCAGAATGACAGCGAGCAGTTTTTACAGTAGCATAAAAAGAGTTTATCTAATCTTGCGTGTGGTGCATGAGGTCGAAGAGACTGAGAAATTAGTCGAGCATTGTACTGCTAAGACTTTTCCATTCAGGATATATTAACTAAAACATTTCTCGTGACATTGTTTTCTGGATTTCTGTTCCGTCTTTCTTTCTGTCCCTAACCTCGTCTTTGTCATGGATTCATTTGGTTTTCTTTTGTTTCTTTTTTTTCTTTTGTTTTGTTTTTGTGTTTTTGCTTTCTCAAATCATGATGGTGACATAACATGTGCACGCTACCAATAAAAGCCTAAATAATGATATAATATAACTAGCAGAGCCGCGCAATCAAATTCAGTATACGTAAGCGTGCTCAAAATCCCGATAGTGCACGCAGATAGCGTGAGCAAATCGCTTCGCCAGAAAATGTTTTTTTCTCGCGAGCGGCCATTGTCAGCGCGGGGAAAAATAATATATTTCACGACAATAATGGATACAAACAGAGACTCGGCCTACCAGTCCCAAACCAAAGACAATTTTCCGACCTTTTCCCTTGGGCTAGAGTTCTTAAATGAGGCAGAAAAAGAGAAAAACAACGGAAAAGGAGACTCGGCATCAGCGCCGTCACGATTCGCTTCACTTCACTTAATATTTCACTTCTGATAGCGTTGTCCGTTTTTCGCGTCGGATTTGATGTACAATTCCACCGGCTATGTTATAAAACAATTGGTTTATGCTTTTAGCTGTGCACTATCGAGTTATGGAGCACGCGGGAAGTTTGGAGAGCACTTAAGGCTATTGCCTCGGGCAACTCTTACGCTTCTTTCGTGCTCTCAAAACTTCCCACGTGCTCCATAACTCGATGGTGCACGCTAAAGCATGAACCAATTGTTAAGCAAAGTTTAATTTGTATTCGGGAAAAGACTCAACACCACAAGGCTGTAGAGTTTCAGGTCAAAGATTCTACCTCGAACTTCGTGTCGAGGAAATAGATCAGACTTCTGTTGAATTAGCGGTGTTCTTCGATTTTAATTCTTTCGCTATATCTTACAATTGCTCGTTATGAAAAAATTATGCTTTTCAGGAGAGCCATCTCTCAGACACTAACTAGAGAAACTTAAGAGCCTAGAAATTGTCAGCCGTCTGTCATCTCGGTTCTTACGCGAAATGAAGATAGTATCGGCTCGCGGAACGTGAATTCGCGGGACCTAAGCCAAATGCCTTCCTCTAATTGCACATCTTAAAACACCTGCCACTTTGATTGGGTCCCAGTTGGGTGATTGCTTTTATGGTTGATGGTTAAAAGTTTGGCTATTTTATGGCAAGCATCAACTTTTTTTCGTTGCGCTTCACAGAAATGATAAAATCTAATTTCAGTTCATTCAAAAGGTTAAAATCAACTGCCGGCGACGTTCTAAAACACTTTTGCTCACTCACATTCACTATCAGAGCCGAAAAAGAAGGCTAATTTCAGATCGAGCTGAGTTTCACCACGTGGTAGAGTTGGAGGTGAAATGACTCTAGCCCGAACTTCTTGGCATGGTCTTGAAGATCAAGAAAATCATTAGATTTCTTTTAAAAGCCAAAAAAAAGAGAGAAAGAAAGAATACAATGCACGAGGAGATGACTATCATCTTACTTAACATTACCTTACATTACAACTTGTGTAATCCAACTTAAGACTCTTTCTCAAATCCGTGCAAAAGGGGTTTTCTTGTTTAATCAAATTGGAACGCGAAGTGCGCTCGAGAAAAAAAAGAAGGGGAAGAAAGAAAACAGCGTACAATACGCGACATTGTTAGTTAAAAATCTATTCTTTCTTTCTTTGTTTCCATCTTTTTCTTTCTTTCTTTAGTGTACCAGAATTAATAGACTATTAGTTAAAAGTTGTCTTTCATTCAAGTCTTTGATAAAGTGCTTCCCTTTATATAAGGACTTGTGTGATCGCAGTAACTCAAGTATTATTATTATTGTTAAGTTATTATTATTACTATTAATTATTATTTGAAATGAGACATCAGGATAAAAAAAGATACCTACTTTCTTCGATTTCACTCATCTAAAATCGTATCTTTCTATTAAGTCAGATGCTAAAGGTAGTTCGATTGTTATTTTTAAATTTAGCTTGTATGATTTATAGCCAGTGCTCCATGCTGCAAAGTTATTCCAGGAAAAGATCTTAATAGAAGATGAAATATGATACTTTGACATGATTGCTAATGTTTTGTTTGGCTACGACGGAGGGGCTCAGAGACAGGAATACAAGCTAAGTGAACATTGCTTATTTTGTGTAGTTTATGTATTGATTGACAAAGACGAGACCTTTGAGAAGATAATAAGTTTCTGTATCGAAACAGTTCATCAATAGCCCATTCCTTGCGAAACAATTAGTTTGACCACGAATGATTTAGATTCGGCTGTATACAGCTGTACCTCCAAAAGGTTTGTATTGGCATTAGACTGACAGTTTTCTATAAGAAAAGATTCAATAGTTCTGCAAAATTCAAATTGAAAATAAATGGACTTTTGAAGAGCAGGCTATACCTCTTATAACCTTCGTGTAACGAAGGGTGACTAACGTGTCTCTATTATCTTATATTTTCTGTCAACATTCTACTTGTACATATAGCTATGACTTAAAATTCCAGACGATGATCAGAAGGTAAATCTTCACATTTAAAAATAATTCGTGATGGAAAACCACACGTGCATTTTACTTTTTAGCAACATGAAGTATATCAGGTCCTTTATCATTACCAGACCTCATCTAATCATCCTGTGAATGTCGCCAAAAAGGTTACAGTTTGTCATCGTGGTTTACACACTTTTTCTACGAAGTATAATCGTCTGCCTTTTCGCCTGAGGAAGCCTATCAATATGCAGTTGTTGAGTTGTGATCCATTTCTTCTAAAGTTACTTCATCGTGAGACAAACGATTTTATTTCCTATAGTAACTCATGACCCTTATCTCTCATATTATCATCGAAAGTTCCCATTGTAAAGTATTTTTATCTACATTTAAATTGTGCATAAAAGAAAGAAAATTTTTAATCGCCATCATTTTCGCACAAATAATTCAACTCTTAAACATGGAAATCTATGGTACGTGACAGGATAAAACCGAACGTATCTGGCCATGACATCAGTGGTGAGGAAATGCTTTACGACTCTGTGTCGATCTGAGTTTCCTGGAAAAACCTGGAAGTGGAAAAATGCATAAATAATAACGAGAAAATAGTGTAGTTCGTCAAATGATTCAAGTTTAAAGGGAGATGTTTTATGGAAAGGTTGAGGTGTGGAAGACGATCTAACTTACATCAATGATGGTCAGGAAACTTATGCTGCATTTAAAGCTAAATTTACACGCGGACCTCTTTATGAATAATCTATGATAGAACTATAACCTTTCTCTTAAATCTTGTCGCAATAAAAAAACTTAAGATAATTCCAAAAGCTTTATAGTGAAAGGAATACAAGGTAGAGAGGTGCTCAAAACTCTGAAATGAAACCACTTCGCTATTTTACTCTTTTAACGTCAACCCTTTATCACTAACAAAGAGCATACTATTGGCAATTGCGGTCTGTTTTGTTTCATTCAACATATTATCAAAGATCGTGAAATCGTGATAAATATCTGCAAGCTATTGGGTCTATATTCCATTAAAAATAAAGTGAACTTTTACTTGACAATAGTTTTGGCAAATTGGTTACAAGACTTTTTGTCCCACATATACCCCACCTATACTCGTAAATTGCAACAAATCACACTCTTGCTTGCAGTGGTGCAATTTTTAAGTCGCTTTTGTAACTCACTGAATTGGACTCTTGGCGGTCCTAAAGTCATTACAAATAGTTTCCGAACAAACCTTTGCAGTACTGGTTTCCTCGTAAACGTTCCAAGTTACACCGTTTGTGGATAAGTGCAGTTTGTAGCTGGTTGTCCATTCATGGTAAACCTTTTCTCCTTGGGTGGCCACAGCACAAACAGACAGCATTGTACCCATATCGACTTGAAGATAGTCTGTTCTGTCTGATACAGTCTTGGGACACCATCCTCCACATCCCCTGTTTTCATGAAGTCGGCCATAGTACGGATAATATCTTTTATTATAGAATGAGCTTGCTGTCATTCTGGCATCTGAGATTGCATTTCTGTCTGTCACACCAACAGGCCAACATACTAGATAAAAGTAAAATGGATCAAACAGTAAGGCTTATATTTACCTACATCTATTCCTTTGCTTCCCAACGTAGAACAGTATGATTTGAACAGTGTGGATTTTTTAGCGCGAATCAAGCTGCAATAGTTGAAAAACATGGCTTACAACCTCCTCGTTGTGAGGCAAAAGGGCGTTATTCCCTTCGTTTTTTCATCCTTTTGATTCATTTACCAAGCAAGCACAATGGTCACCTCTTGGTGAATTGTAGGTCAACCCATTTCATAAATTCACAAATGTAAGACACTGTTGTATCGATATCTCAAAAGATTGCATTTCAAATTATGTATGGCCAATTTTATGTCTGCGGACATATCCTTTATAATGAAAAGTGTTTACATAAAATTCGTGAAATTTTAGTTCTGACGCAACTCTTTGCAGTTGGTTTATTTCGGCATCGGTTTCGTGAAACTAGCCTTAAGTTAACGGCCCGTAAAGCTGTTCTGCCCTTTTTCATTTAAGAGTTTTTTAAATTACACAACAAAACCACCAGCTTAAGCAACAAAATAAAATTTTTCGGGTGCCTACATTTTATTCTCTATTCTTTAAATTTTGATATTAATATCCGCGACCTTGCTAATAACTCGAAATATTTTAAGCTGAAGTAGTTTCATCTTCCTGTTTGTAGTCCACAACACAGCACTGAGACCCGTTGGCGATAATCATGGTTTCTTTTAACCCCCTTGACCTGTTTATTTTGAAGTTTCAGGCACAAAAAGCAAAAATTAAGGGAAATTCGACTCGGTTTTATTGTTTCTATGGTAATCCTATATTTCTTAAAAATAATCCAGCTTATTGATAACCGATTTGGCATCTTTTGAAGCCATTTGCAAGGAATAACACGAAAAAACGTAGAAGAATCAGTATATTAAAGAATCGGTGTTTACAAACGAAACCTTGTCGAACAATATGCATAGTTCTAATGACGGCTTTATTTAGATTATTTTTGTTTAAAAGAAAAAAAATCATTACTTTTCCTTGGCCTATATCATAGGCTAAAATAAAACAAATGAAACTGATGCCTTTGGGATAAATACTCTATATAGTTTTTGCATGTAGAGAAGCCATTTGCGAGGAATAACACCAAAAAAATGTAGAAGAATCAATGCATTAAAGAATCGCTGTTTACAAACGAAACCTTGTCGAACAATATGCGTAGCTCTAATGCCGACGGCTTTATTTTGATTTGGTTTTATTTCAGTCAATACAGAGGAAAATAACTAATTATTTTCTCTTGACTTATTTCATGGGCTGAAATAAAACAAATAAAACTGAAACCTTTCGGATAAATACTCTAGATAGTTTTTGCATGTAGAGATGATGATGACTAGTACCTGATACAGATTACGTCGTGGCCGGTAGAGTATATTATGGTAAATGTGATGTAAAGTCGTTACCATTGCGACAAAGGTGTACTCATGTTATGATATTTCCTAATACTAATTAATAATAAAAATCCTCAATTATTAATGATAATGATTTTGTGTGGAAGTCAAGTGAATGTGCGAAAGATTCTCTAAACCTGAGAAGTATATTAAAGAGCGATTATCTCGGACAATTCCATGCCTTCTTAATCATGCTACGACTAGTTTATAAACATGCTTTATAAATTTCGTGCTCTAGATTGTTTGGCATATCTATGTACGTGGAGCTCGTGTCCAAGTGTCATTATTATTCGTCCATTAATTTTTTTGACAGCTTCGCCTTTAGTCGAACAGAATAGAAATGTAAAGTCGAGACTTTTGATCTTGGTGTCAGCTTTCCTATGAGAGAAACTGTTGGAAAACATTGTTACAATATTCGCGAAAGATTTTTTTAATTACGTTTCCACTGGTAAAGAATTATTAGCCTCAGAACAGCTGAATTTTGCATGAGCGGAAGTCAGTCGCTGCTCAATATAGTGTATATATTTGAAAATAATTCAGTAACGTGAACTTCCTCAGTTCCATCAAAACTATTTAAACATAAAAACCCCCGTGTATGATTGTTGTCTATTATTGGAATTAGTGGAATTTTAGTTAATCAGTTTTAGTTGCTTTTCTTTATTTAGTCGTATTGACCCAGAAAAAGGATGCGTATTTGGAAAACGAATTCATTCTGCGCCACTGTAAGTACGTCAAAAATATATGCTAGAGTAAAAGTTAGTAACACAAGGCTCTAGCAAAACTATTTGTTGATAAATTTCATGGTCTTGGGTACTTATTGTTTGGAATGTTTTTCTTAGAATAAACTTATGATCCTTATTTCACAAAAAAATACTGTCCATAAAATTGTGTACGAAAATCTTGCAATATTTATGTATCATTTGAAGGATAGAAGGGGTGCACTATAATACACAACCAATCAAAGAGACAGTTTTTGTACCACGTGGTACAAATAAACCAATTATATGGGATCTAAGGTGGTGATTTGATATAACGCGTGAAATAAAATGCTTTCTCTGGCTGGTTGGTAAGCAGGTGAAAATTTTATAAGTTATGATTTAAAAAAGATCATAATGAAAGATGTATTTGCTATCAAAAGACATGCACTTAAGGATATTAGAGATAAAGTAAGAAGTAGCTTATTGCCTGAAATTTACAAATCAATATAACAGTTCTGAAGATCACGGTGATGGTACACTTCCAACATATATTGTTACCTTCACCCTGTACCAATAAATAATGAGGTAATGCAGCGCGATCTCGTCATGTTTTTGTACAAGAAACAAATAAAAGGAAATGAAAGAAAATACAGTCGTACGAAATTAGCAGTGATTTGTTTCTTAGACTTAATGTCTGCAACATACAGTTCTGGTGATCGTTATCGAGAGATATCGACAACAGCTGTAGACGTGCTCGAACTTACAGTCCAGAACTCTCTATACCATTACAAACCACTCAAATCCGTCGAGACACGACTAAGAATGACAAGGAACTTTCAAATATAATAAAAATGTATATTTTTATGTATATTTTGATTTGTATATATTCTTTTCACGATAGCTTGACTCTGACAAAAAAAAAAACACTTCTCGATAATGCTATGGAATTAAATTTGTTTTAGGCGGCGTCATTATACTTTTCCTATTCCATAAAAGGTTTATGTCAAGTACAAAACTTTTAGGTGAAACTTCAAAGGTACGTACCATTCAATAAAGTTATGTCGTACTTTGCGTCTTTCAGTTTTCTTACCAAGTTGACATTTGACTAATATTTGTTTTATGGAGACAGGAGAAGTGTTTGCTTCTAGCCAAACGAAATTACGCTTAGCGACATTTGGGTCAATCGTTTTCCGATGAACTAATCAGAACGCTAGAAATGCAATAACCGGACTTCAAATGTAATGATAATTAATAAATTAGTTCAAAACATCATCCCACCTTGGTACCGCTAACTACCCAAAATATAAAATCAATGGTATTAAAACAGACTACTAAACATAAGTTGCATCAGATTGGAAGTATCACCATCTCAACATGCCCAAAATATGCTCAGTTTTAATCCTGATGGCTCTGGCTTGATTTGTTTCATTTCATCTTATAATTTGGACGAAGTTTAATAATTAGTTGGTTCGAAATGGCTGTGATGTTAAACAATGATTCTTCGATGCACCAATACAATAACATGTGTGTGATCCCACGAAAATTGTTTCAAAAGATGCTAAATTATATATGGTGATTATATTTTCAGACATGTAAGGTTATCATGGCCAATTACCATACCAGATTCGAGTCTAAATTCTATATGTACCCCTGCAGCGCTGGAGGACAAAAAAGTGTTTTTAAGTCCACCGTATCATGAATATTTTATTGGTTTAATTTGTTCGAATTACTGGAATAGCACTCAATGCATAAGACTCATTACGCGCAGGAATAAAGAAAACGCATTCATGAGTGTAAATATATGAAAATCATATACATTACGCAGTTACAAAGTAGTAGTGAAAAAAAAATATTGAGGCCCGTACGGGATTTCAACCCATGACCACTGCGATACCGGTACAGCACTCTACGGTAACGCAGAGGTCATGGGTTCAAATCCCGAGCGGACCTAAATTTTTTCAGGCCTTATTTTCACTACCATTAAAATAACGCTAGTGATTGTGAGTCACTGTCGGGGTTTTCTGGACCAATCACAGAGAGAAGCAATTGTAAAAGAAGCAAAAAACAATGTTGGAGTTAATTGTTAATTTTAACTGAGGGTGTCGCGTATTAAACACTGTTTTCTTTCTTCCCTTTTTTTTTTTCCCGAGCTCACTACGCGTTCCAATTTAATTGAATAAGGAAAATCTTTTTGCACAGATTTGAGAACGAGTCTTAAATTGGATTACACAACTTCTAGTGTAGGATAATTTTAGTTTAGATGATAGTTATTTCCTCGCGCATCGCATTCTTCCTTTCTCTTTTTTTTCTCCTTTTCTTTCTTTCTTTAATGTACCAGACCTAAAAGAGTATTAGTTGGTTCTTGCCTTTAATTCAAGTACTTCCCTTTATAAAAGGACTTATGAAATAGGGGTATCTTATACAATTTTATACTACACACAAGTGTCATTTGAAATGAGACCACGATAAAACGAAAAAAAAACACTTATTTTCTTCGATTTTATACATCTAAAATCGTCTCTCTCTATTACGTTGGTTACTAAGACTAGTTCAATCGTTTTCAAATTTAAATTGTATGATTTTTAGCATTGTGCTTCATGTGGCAAAGTTATTCCAGAGAAAGATCTTAATAAAAGATAAACCATGATTCTTCGATATGATTGCTAATAATTTGTTTAGCTACGACGGAGGGGCTCAGAGACAGGAATACAAGCTAAGTGAACATTGCTTACTTTGTGTAGTTCATGTATTGATTGACAAAGCCAAGTCCTTTGAGAAGATAATAAGTTTCTGTATCAAAACAATACATCAATAGCCCATTTCTTACGAAACAACAAATATGACCACAAATGATTTGGATTCGCCT